ATCGCACTGTGCATATGCATCCAAAGCAGCAGAGCTAAATCTAAATGAATCTGTGTATTTACTGTATAGAAAAGACAGTGTTTGTTAAAAAAGTCCACTTCCATCTATATCTACACAGTAAAGATTCTTCACATTCATATATATAACTTCATCATCACTGCAGAACATCGTGGCAGTAGGAGCAGGCTTCTGTGATGGCCTGGGTTTTGGAGACAACACCAAGGCAGCAGTGATTCGTCTCGGCCTGATGGAGATGATCTCCTTTGCCAAGGTTTTCTGCACTAACTGCCCCGTCTCACCTGCCACCTTCCTGGAGAGCTGTGGCATCGCCGACCTCATCACAACCTGCTATGGTGGACGCAACAGAAAGATTGGAGAGGCATTTGCCAAAACGGGCAAAGTACGAAACAGCTCGTGTCTCTCTCATGCCAGTCTTCCTCTTTTGTTATTAAAATGATAATAATGTGGCGCTCGTTGTCTCTCCTTGTAGACTATCGAGCAGTTGGAGAACGAGCTGCTGAATGGTCAGAAGCTTCAGGGCCCAGCAACAGCAACTGAGGTCCACCAGGTCTTGAAACAGAAAAACATGGTGGAGAAGTAAGTCTCTCTTGTGTTTTATTATTATCAGTATTGTATTTGACCTTTTTGCAATGAGTGATACTTACCTGTTTGGCATATGTTTGAGTTGGATACTCAAGAAGAAAGTGGTGCCATACAAACAAGTACACAGTGAAGTTGCTGGCACCAGCTTTTAGATTAATGAATATAAATGGCTCTTTCCAAAAATAAGCAAATTCACATGTCAGCACCTCTGAAGCTCACTAATGAGCTTGTTTGTTTAAAGTTACTGCTTCATATTTACTCTAGACACGAGAGTGATATCAGTCTTTTCATCTAACTCTGGCAAGAATGTGAATGTGGAACTATTTCCTTAATAATCTCCATTTGCCCTTGCAGGTTTCCTCTTTTCACTGCCGTTTATCAGATCTGCTTCAATGGCCACCCAGTCTCAGAGTTCATCAAGTGCTTGCAAAACCACCCGGAGCACAATTGAGGGACTGGTGACGGGATAGAAGTTTGGACAAACTTTCACACTACAATTACACTATCACCAAGGACATTAAAGGGGGACAGGTAGTCCTGACTCCTCATGTTTTAGTCTCAAACAGAGAAAAGAAAAAGTGGAGCAGACTTGCCTTCCACCTGCCTGAGCCACATGTGTTGACCTGCTGTTGTTACTGACAGAGGCATGCATTTGGTTTCCATGTCTGTCTTTACCGATTGCCGCACAAATCTTTTAAGTCTTAAAAGTTTTGAGAATTTGAATTGTTCTCCTTTACGACACACAAACCATGACCTGACTGTTATGAAATGTTACATAATACCTTGTGTAAAAGTGCCCTTGTTTTGTGAAGCACTGAAGGGGGGAAAAAAACCTAACCTGTCCCACTGTTTCATCATGTGGGCTTCCTAAAATATAACTGCTTACAATACAAAATCTATTTTGAAATAAAATATTGATCTTGTTTTATTTTTGTGCCTATTTATGTTTTCTTTTGAACGTGGTGGTGCATGCCTGCAGGACACACGCATACACTCAGGAAGTGCCCCACTGTAATCTGACCTGAGCTCAGTCTGGCTGCCACTCTAAACTCTTCACCTTTACCATTTCCTAGCACGTCTGCCTCAACCTTTCTCCAAGGCCACATCCTGGTTTCAGCCACAGCCCCCATATGTGATAGCTCCATTGTTCCAAATAGATTCTTGAATTTTCTGTAATTTATTTAGTGCAGTCATTAATGCCCTTGTTATTTCCCCCACTTAATTAAGTCGCAAATATCCCTGGAGGTGCAACAAAGCCATATGTCCATCTCCATATGCCAATATATCCCATCAATTTTCAGTCCCTGTTAGTCAGTGGCAGCCTGTTTGCTCTGGCCTTGAAATGAAAATCTGCATACTTCTGTTTTCTAATTAAACACACAGAAGCAACAGTCCTATCCATACAAGCCTTTTGATCACAGAAATGTGTTTGGTTTTAAATGTTTTTCAGCTGTGTCGCTCACTTATGTGAGTGGACTGTAAAGTTACATCATTAGGCACTTCTTTAAAACTGGACTCCCTAGCTGAAATCCCTTGCATAGTTATTGAGTCAACTGGCCTGTGAGATATCTAATAATAACTCTCTCCAAAGGAGCAAATGGTCATCTATAATTAGACGGGGCTACAGCCACCTCATACTCTGCAGAACAAGACAATACCATACCATTGTACTGCAGTGGAAATCCCAAAAATGTGTGTCATTTTAAAATTTTGTTTTATTTTAATAAACGGACACGAGGGTTTTACAATGAATTTCTGGCTAAGATGTTGCATAAAGTTTCTTGAGAATTTATAGTTGCATTACACCCACTGACCACTTGGGAGAGCAATCGCATCAATCACAAACTCATCGCTTAATCTGGTGGCTTTTTCTAAACTATCCGTGAGGCGCTACCAGTTGAGATAACCAAAAACAGGGATTCCTGAGAAGGAGCTGTTAAACCTCACAAGTTGTATGAGCACAACTCTGATATGCAGCTGTGCGTCTTAAAGTCAGGCTCTAGAAATTAAAGTGAAAGGATACGAATGCCATGCGTTCACACACATGTGCCCATCCCTTCAGCGAGGGAGGAGGGACTTGCTTCACTTCCTCAATTCTGCTCGGCAAGCAATATGAGTCAAGTTAGAGATAAAATCCAGGAACCTGCATTTGAAATTAAGTGAGTGGTTTATGCCAGCAAATTTAAAATGTCACTAATGAGAGGAGGGGAAAAAATCGTAATTCCTGTCTCTTCTGTCACACCAAGCCTCTGCACATCCTCCTTCACTGAATCCACGAACCTCCTATCTGGCAGCTTAATCTTCAACATATTTTCTCCATTATATTCACTATCCGTCCTCTGCACATGTCCAAACGATCTCAGCCTAATCTCTCTAGCATTATCTGCAAAACCTTTTAACCATAGCTGTTCCTCTGATATACTCATTTCTAATTTCCCAACAAAAATGTGAACATTTTCAGCTCTGTTACCTCCCATCTTTTTGTCAGTGTCACCTTCTCCTAACCATAAATCATAGAATGTGTCATTAATGTATTAAGTGTAATATACTTCACTACCTGTGCTCCTTGAAGCTTCACATGTATTCTGTCTTGCTTCTACTAACTTTGATTTTCTTCTCTCCAGAGCATACCTCCACTCTTAACTCTCAAAATTAAAAAGGTCACTAATGAAAAGACAGTCTTAATTCTTGTCTGTCTTTCTATTTAATAAGTGAAAACAGTTAATGTTCAGATGTGAGGATCGCTTCATAGTTTGCCTTTAAAAATATAAAGTTAGCAATCCCCAGCTATACAAGGAAGTAACAAAATTATTATGGCCACAATTCTAACTTAGTCAAATATTAATTAAAAAAAGAAAAGAAAAAAAGACGAGTGACAAATAATTTAAATGAGTGAACGATATTTTTAACGCTTTCTTACGTGAAATGTTATACCGTTATGTAGTCATGAATCTTATTTTGAAAACCCCCCACCGGAAGCGTAGCTAGTTTTGCGGTAATTTTATCACTTTTGCGGTAAAGTTGAGTGTGGCAGTCGGCATACAGAAGTAGCCCGGTGGGGGGGGCAGAGCAGGCATCCAACAAGTTTCACACATCTTTTCTTTGAGCCAAGAAATACTTTGCTCCAAACCGCGCGGGCACAGGGACGCGGGAAAATATGGCTGGTCTTTCAGCCTGGTTTTGGAACGAGAGGTTCTGGCTCCCTCACAACGTAACCTGGGCGGATCTGGAGAACCCAGCTCCCGGGGTGGAGTATCCTAAAGCCGGACACTTGTTTACCGCCTTACCGCTAGCTTTGGGAATTTTCGTCGTAAGGATACTCTTTGAAAGGTTCGTATTTAGCGCTCATGGCGTTATTTCTTCTTTAAAAGGGGGAGAGGGGGAATCTCCAAAAGTTAATTTTAACGGATGCTGTGCCCATCAGCAGGAAGATGTGTAAGCTAGCAGTGGGAGGACCACTCTCTTTAAATCACGGGTTCCCAACTTTTCTCACGCCAAACAGCCATTTCGTTATAGTCAGTGACTCAGCCTCCAAACTGCTGTCTCAACTGCATTTTTATTTTGTAGTTTCTTGTCCTTTTTCACTTCAAATTTAAGGTTAAACATGATCAAAGAAGGCTAACACGGTGGGAAGTTTACTAATGGTGATTTTGCCGGAACACTCCCTTGTCAAAAATAACATCTCAGGTGAAGCTTGTTTAGTAATCAGAGTGTGCGTTTTTAGTTGTCTTGTGGGGGTAAAGAAGAATATGTAGCTATCGCACTGCTAGTCCGCTACTTCATATCAAACCGGCACATCCTCTCGTCACATAGTATATGATTAGGAACCATCCGTAAAACGGTTGGGTTGTGCTTTTGTTCATTCTGCATAATTGAAGAAGGGACACGCAGTGTTTCGTACCTTTGGATAGTAGCCAGCTGCAGGCCCTGCCACACAACTAAATGTCTTGAAGGCATTTGACTCTGTCACTGCACAACAATGAGTTTTCATTATTTGTTTTTATAGTTGAGATATTCTTGTCTTGAGATATCTGATCTTCTTCCTCAAGTGCAGGTTTACTGCTTTAATTGTGATTTATTTATTGTTTTTTAAAAGATAGCATGTGGCATTTCCATGGCAGGTGTTGGCTGTTACAGGTGGTGCATAAATGTACCGACCCCTTTAGAAGATCTCACAGTTGCTTAATTTCAACCGTTTCTGTGATTTAGCCTGTCTGTCTGGAAAATGAGCGATAGAGGGGATGTTGAAGATTAAATTTGAAAAACCCTTTCCAGACCTTGTAAAGAAAATGAATCCGTCACTGGTTTCCCATCTGAGTTGCCGCCACAATAGCTGACAGACCTGAGTGATAACAGGAAAACCACAGTCTGTTTTGAGCTGTGCTACGGACTGACCTGATAGGGCGGTTTCACAAATGTCAACTTGTTGTTTGATTGAAAGTTTTGATGAAGGGTTTGTTTTGAAGTCGATGTGTTGGGAAAGGTTTTGTCTGCTTATCAGTTTTTCAAGCTTGACAAACCAGTCGTGGAGGTGTGCGTAGTGCATTGCTTCAGTGAAATGGCATGAAGCTGAGCTCAGATAAAGCCCTAAATTCATGTTTTAGAAACTCATTAGCTAGGATTATTTAACACTTGTGTTATTTCATTTCTTCATTTAAAAAATAAAAATCCTGTTTCTCTCAATGTAGAAGATGTAGGATGTCAGCTTGTGGAGAAATATCACAGGTGTGATCTAGTACTTTGATATTTCTGAGGAAGTAATGAACAAAGAAACTGTACAACAGTTATCTGGTCGGTGTGGGATAACATGTTTCTGGCAGCGCTTCTCCTACTTTCACTGTGCAGGGAGAAGAGGATAAAGCTCACAGTGCTTGTACACAGTATATGGAACAGCTGTTTGGCCTCGGTGTTGCATATGTATGTGAACATGTATGACTGCTTGTTTGTCCTTTTTCTGCTCTAATCCTAGAGGTTACTTTCGAGTGCTCCCTTATTTCCCAGGGGGTCACCATAGCAGATGGATCTGCATGTTTGATTTGGCACAGATTTTTGTGCCAGATGCCCTTCCTGACACAACCCTCCCATTTATCTGGGCTTGGGACCAGTGGCGTACTAGCATGTGACCCCCTGAGGCTGGATTGGTGTCTCCTCCCAGTCAGAAACTGGGCAACTTTCATGTCTGAGGCACATGTGCTAACCTCTATAATTAACCTATTTTATGTAAAACATTACTTGTATATAGATGTTTTGTTTAAAAAAAAACAAAAAAAACAACAACAAAGGTTTATGGAACAAAAAAAGTTGTTCAAATATGCTGGAGTTTTAACCTCTTTGGACAACAGAAATTTGCCACGAAGTTTTTTGTTTTTTTTCCATAGTGTATGTATGTAATTATGATAAAAGCAATAATCACATTTACTTTGGAAAGACATTAATCGTTCAACATGATTGTTCTGTTATTTTACACAAATGTAATCTTTTCATCCCAATTATGTTATAATTCGAAGTAAAATTTGTAATTGAATTGCAAAAGTCAAATTAAACACCCCGGCTTAAATATATGTGCAGTTTTTGGTTTTGCACCAATAATGAACCACCTCAAAATATCAGGTGTTCACAGGAAGCGCTGAAAGCAGGCAATTGTTTCTGGATGTGTTTGTCCAGAACCTTGCACTACGTCATGCATCCCTAGTTTCTTTTGGTCAGCTGTTGCACATGCTGCTGCTTTTATTTGCTCAATAAATGAACAGTGCCAGTTCTATTGTGACACAGAACCACATGACAAGCATTGTATATTAAAGGATAATGCGCAAAATAAAAAAATCCTGTAATAATCTTAAAAGATTGAACAAAACTTTAATTGTATCATTCTGTAAGCTTTATTCAGATGATTGTCTTTAGGTATTTTAAAGGACCTGTATTTCTCAAGAAATTTCCACAAGGTTAAGAGTTCATCCATGTGTTTTTACAGCAGGCCTAAGCCCCGGGAAGATTAAGCAAATCTGTCCCCTGACATCAAAAGCATGACGGTCTGAAATTCCCTCTGAACATCGCCTTTGCAAAAATGAACACCAGAGTCCAGGCTCTGGGGCTGCTTCGCCCTGATATGTGTAGGCCAAAACTTTGAATAGTCAATGTGTATCAATGCTACACAATATTATGCAAGTTCCTGTAACTCAAACCAGTACTGCTACCCCTAGCAGAGAGATTATTTTAAGGGTAAAACTTTCTCTTGAAAAACTTAAACATTGGTTATTTGGGGGGAAAATGCAGGTAGCGTCACAACAAACAACAAACAGATGCTGACGCCAAGAACTAGACCTCTGCTGGTGCACATGACATATAGAAACACACAGGAAAGAAGGGAATCTTCTTAACAGGACAGCCAGGACAGACGGACGATTATAATATGAGCTATTTCTGTTAGTATTAGGTAAGTACTATTGCTACTCAGGGGTGAGTTTACACTTTACACTTTGAGGGACATCTCGAAACAAAGTGTTCAACTTTGGCTGGTTAAATTTTGACGTAGTCAAGTGCCTGTAAATAAGGAGCAATCAGATATTGGAGGTGGTGAAGGGGAGCTGCTGAGCTGTTCGATAAGAAGCACATGGCACTGAGCCACCTGTCTCAGGTGCCAAAGCTGCTACTCAGGCCCTCTCTGATGAGAAGGTGTCCTCCGACAGCCTCGTGCAAGGTGATGTTATCAGAGAGCATTTACTGCGTGACTGTCTCATTCATTTATTAATCAGAAGGGAAAAAAAGCACATCACAGCTTTAGTTCCTACTCTGCTAAAGGAAATAAAGCTTGTAGCATGCACAGCACTGCACTCACACATGGTTCACACACAGGTTCAGTACACTTATGTCACTGTTGGAGAGTGAGCTCAATTTTTCTTTTTTTATCATTTCAAGGAGTTACTCAGCCTAATCCAACCAAAAAAACGACACGCCAGTAGGCTTACGTTATGATTGTTATTTCAGCATGCGCTGGATAGCTCAAAATACTAATAAACCCAATCACCTTAGCTGTTGTTGCCATGCAAAAGAGGGAAATAATAGGTGGAAGTCTTAGCAAATTTAGCTCTGTGTAGGTGGCTCTTAGAACAAAGCATGGTGCCATAGTTAATTTCAGATCTCAGAATTTAAAACTGATCTAACTTAAGCTACAAATTGTGTTTTGTTTTTTCTTTTAACACTTTATAGATTAGCATCAGAAACCCCTCAGGATCTGTGGTAATAAACCTCGTTCTTGTTCCAGCATGTATAAGTCCTACTGTTTTATCAGACAATATTATTTGATAACATCCTCTAACGATTAGATAACGTATCAAAATCTTACATTTCACCTTCTACTGTTACTGTCTTCAAAGCATATGCCTTTGTCCTCGAAAAGCTAGGTTCACTCATGACGTTATTTGCAGGATTTGTCTTTTGCCTCCAGGCAGTGCCTCACTCTGACTAACCCAGTAACAGCCCCCCCACCCCCGTTCTGGACCAGTTCATTCTTGTTCGATCGTAATCATCGTTTTGCCACTGGAGCTTATTTTCTAGATGTGAGCAGGCAGGCAGTTTTGCGTGTGCAAGCCATTGTAGGCCATGTCATGAGTTGTTAACAGTGTCAAAACTACAACCTGAGATGTATATAGGATAATAATTAGCCAAACCTGGTTTCCTAATCTGCTGCGGTACCTTTGGTCTGTGTCCTCATAAACTCTGTTATTCTATATTCTCTGTTCGTCTCCTTGTTGAGAGTTCAATGTCCTGACTACATAATCTAACCTTGTCTCTTCCCAAAGTCATGCTTCCATGTTAAGTCATTTGTGTTTCAAAACACATGCTGTAAAATCAATTCAAATGAAGGCCACAATTGCGTCGAATACTCTGCTATAATTAGCCTGTGCTTCAGCCGCCGCTCTGGCACTGGAAGGTTTACCAGCGTCAAGGTGGTACGTAGATCAGTGCTCTTCCCTTCACAGCTGTTCAGTACAGAGACCACACCAAGCCTGTCTCCTGGTAACAGGCCTTGTGTTGGTTAGGTCGTCAGTTTCTGAGAAGAAACAGGCATGTTTTGACATTTAACATAAATAGGTTAGCTTACACATGTTAGCTCTGCAGGCTCAGACTTGAATGAATATTTGTTAATTCATGCTTTCCTTTATCATAAATTTAAGGACCAGTTGCACCCAGAACAACCTTGTGGTTGTTGCTTGTGTCTGTGACACGTCAACTCGCGTTTTGAGTGTGCAGCCATTTAATAGAGATTGCAAGAGAGCTAATGTAGGCACTTAACTCTGGCGTCAGTTAAGAGCTGCACACTTTGTCGCATTCAGCACCGTGCAACCTCTGAGCTTTTATTTGATCAAAATGCCAAACACTGATCCTTGCATGTTGCCTTTACTTGTAAAGTGTTTTATGCTCACGGTGCACTGTAAAACATGGACTGCCTTGAGTAATGTTTAACAACATCGTGCCACATGGAACTCCTCTATCAAACTTCTCTGCAGAAGTAGGTGTACTTTGGATTTCGTTTTTTTCTTTTGCACCAGTATGTTACAGTCATCATGCCACTCCAGTTCACTCTCAGTATTATGTTCAGTTTGTGAAGCGAAACTCAAATGACATTTAAAACCACCTATTTTTATTTTTATTATAGAGCCACATGTGGCTCTAAAATATGTCTTTATTTTCTTTGAACTTTATGAAGAGGGGTTAAATACACTGTCTACTTTTGTATGATGTTGTATAAGTTATATAACCAAGCTACCTTGAAACGGCATACTTGTCATTGCTCTTGTGATTTTTAGCACAAGGAGAACAAAGTACTGAGAGGTAATTGTCTTTCTTACGGGGAAGGAGACAAAAAAACAGGGAGGACTAGAAGCTTGAGTGGTTTCATGTTAGACAAAAGACATTGATTTTTAGATTTGTGAGAACTTTTTCTTCTCTCTTTTGCGTTACTCATAAAGCAACACAAAGGCACTCAGGCTATTTTGTGATGAATTGCAGTTTCCCACCACTCTGTACACCACCAGCACAATAGAAGTTTAAACATGTAGAGGATTTTACTGCAATTCAGTCTGGTTTGCTATTGCTAAACTTGGACTTACAAAACCTATTTGTATACCAGAGATTTATGTTTTAATCTTAATGGATCTATATTATCAAACCTAAACCTTCTTGCATACTGGATAGAGTAAAGATAAGACGTGAGTGCATATCGAATTATAAAGCATTATAAATCCTGGATCTTAATTGGTCAAATGGGCAGGAGGTTAGGGTAACCCTAACCCCATATTGATGTATGCATGCATGAAAGTCTGTACACCTCTGCAACATAACGATCAACAGTGATATACAGCAGCATAAACTCAGTTATTTTTATTTACATAAATAACAAATGATATTGCAAGTGTCTGATTATATTTACCTAGCATGCCACTATCCTGCTCTACATTTTTGTTCTTAGACTCTCTTGAGGTAGCTTTGCATGATTAAAAGTTCAAAATAATCCCTATATATCTTACTCTTGATCTTAGAGCAGTTCCTCAGGTTATCCTGTCTGAAACAAAACATGTTAACTTTCTTGCCTCCCTTTAAAGCAGTTACTCTAAAACTTTTTCTGGCGACCTCACAAGTTTATTAATTTAAACATTACATTTTGTTAAATAAAAGCAGGCAAACTCACATTTTCTTTAGGAAAAAAAACAGTCATTCAGACCCAGCTAAACCACATCTTTAAGCCAGCTGTTTTCTGATTGGCAGCCACCCATAAACGCAACAGTTCTGTGAGATGATCCACTCTCTAAGATGCTCCCCTCTCACTGACATCATAAAGACCCAGCAGTAGAAGAAAACTTTCTAAGTGACAGCTTTTAGAGCTTTTGGCTTTGCACATATGCTGACCTCTTTATTTGAAATTTTGGCCATGTTTAATATGTCCATCTATTTGAAATATTTGACAGACAATGAGAAAAAGTAATAGATCCCATTTTTAAAATATTTTCTAAAAGAAGGAAATTGGCTTAAATTTGTCAAAGGAGCTTGCAAAGAAAAGCGTCTGGACTTCTTTAAGTTGCTTGAAGACGTTTCACCTCTCATCCGAGAAGCTTCTTCAGTTCTAAGGTCAAATGGTGGGGATCTGGGACTCTCCACTCTCTCTTTGACTACGATGACCTGGATGACTGAGAACCTTCACAGACTTAAATTTGTCAAGTTTACCTGTTTCTGAGCCCCATTCACTCAGTTTCATTTTTATTTATTAATTGTTTTATTTTTATTTTATTTTTAAAGACAAGAATGTCAATCTCATTGATAGGGTAACACAATCATTGCCAAAGTAACAGTGGGAGGACACAGTCGTGTCCAGAACTTCTGGAGGTAATATTAAATACTACTGCATCATGTGTGATTACTTCCCCAGTGACCATCTCCCCAGAAAATGTGATGCTCTGGAAAATCAGTGCATGTGACTCGTGTTTAAGCTTTTATTCATGTTTCTCATTTGCTCCATGTGCACAGTTTATAGGTTTAGTAATACAATAGCTTCCTGGAAAAAAAAATACCAGAGTCTTGTGAAATAAATCTAGAGTATTAAAGTTATACCAAAACAAATATTTAAACTTTCTTTTATCGCTTACTGACTACATTTTTTCCAAACCTCCTTCAATACTCTAAGTTTATTTGAAGGAAAGTTCAGCAGTTTACCTCAAACCGCAGTATCTTAAAGTTGTGTTTGTGGGACATGATATTTCAGACTTTGTGACACTGTGATGATTTACAGAATACCACTGGCATGAACTGTATCTTGTGTTTTTGTGCAGCTACACTAGGGCACCGGCTGTAGTCGTTAATTGTCTCCTTAACAACAGGCTGAAGTGACTCACAGCTCTCGTACAATAAATACATGAATATGCTTTTGTACATAGAGATTTGAATCTGAAGCTTCCTTACATAAACTTGTAACATCACTACGTGTAGGCCAGAAGAAGCAGCTTAGGAAATGACTGTGGCAACACACTCACTGCTACATTGTCTTCAGTGGAATGTTTTTTGCTTCCTTTTTTCTGTATTACAGAAGAAAATCCATGTTTGCAAATCACAGGATTGTTCTGTTGTAATTTGTAGCAGTCTAGATTTAAGCTCATCAGTAATACAGTTTAAACACATAGTTTAAGGCCATTGTTTCTGCTGCACAATCTGGACAAGTATCAGAATTTGACCTTTGCGGCTACTAGACTGTGCAGCTGTTGATTTAAAGTTGCACTAGGTGAGTGTAGCACTGTCCACCTGCCATACCACATACTGTGTGACAAGTCAGAACAATGGAAGTGCAGTAAGCACAGCTCTCACTACAGAGAGGAGGAGCAGGATAAGAAAGTAATGCAGGATGTTTCCTGTGGGGAAAGCACCGAATCATGCGCAGCTTGGTTGAGAGATGAATGATTGGTCTACCACATAGACGGTATTAAAAAAAAAAAAAAAAAAAAGGGACGTAGCTTCAGGATCTGAAAAATAAAGTGAGGACCACAGGGGTGATGCAGGCCACTGCAAAAAGTCTTCCATTCCTATAGAAGGCTGTGGGGGAAAAGGACTTCTCACCTCTGGAAACACTTTTGTGATGAGTTTGTAGTTTCAGTCACTGGCCACCCCTCCACCAAGATGGCAACAGTTAAAATGTTCAGGTTATAAAAGTCCAAACTCATTTACTGTTTACAACTTGAGCCAAGATGATTAAAAAAGAGAGCGTTCAGACATCAAGGTCTCTCTAACAGAAGTAAAACTCAGGGTTTTGTAGCGTAACCTGTGGAATGATTATCAATTGCCTACAGGTGCCTTTGTTTCCGGATTGCTGAGGTGCTCACCGCACTCATATCACTCTCTGTCACTCCTCGTTTGCTATCACCGGACCTGTCTTTAGCCCATCTGCACCCACAAAATTCCCACAGTAGAACAGGCCGCTGGGGCCTGGTTACACTTGCAGGATGAGCATGTCTGCACAAATGATAAAACCTGTAGGTTGATACCAATATACTACCATAGGTAGGTAGGTATCACCTTACAGCATGTATCTGTCACGCTCTAATGGATAATCTGCATATTACAGCCTGCACAGAACAGTAATCAGCCAGCATAAAAAAACAAGTGGCCTGTGAAATTGTTTGTGATTACAGGCAGTAATACATTTAAACCTGCTCTCAGCATATGACACTGTGAACTGTTTGCCTTGCCTGTTGAGCCACAGCATGTCTTTAGCATTTAGACAGACATTTGTGGTTTCTTTCCTCGCTAAAAGTGCCAGTTGAGTCATAATGCAGAACAGATCTGCAGGCAGGGATCACACAGGCTCAGAATGCCCATCCCAGAGTCTGCGTGGGCTAAATAGAGAATTTGTTTGTAAATTATTTTTGAATATATTCAAACCTACCGTGGACCTGAAGCTGTATGTGGGGAAAACAAGCTGACCCAAATAAATCGATGCCTGACTGCTGTGCATTGTATGTTTGCCAAACTTGCTGTCTACAACAAAGACACTCTAGACTGAAACTCTTACTTGAAAAAGAAAATGTACAAATTTCACAGATTACATACTGTGTTTCTCCGTATTAAACCACGAAGAAAGATGCTGCCTGACAAAGGATTGAGAGATACTTAAAAATCCTGCCAGAATTGGCCATGTATGTCTCATCTGAAATAGCTTGTGTGCATGCCTTAGCAACAGAAAGTGACTTTCCATCTCTCATCGCTGTCACAGATTTATTGCCGGTCCCTGTGCCCGAAGTCTCCACATTCATCAGGGTGCTGGAAGAAGAGCTCAGCCCAATGCAGTGCTGGAAAAAGTGTTTACATCCATCACAAAGGTTTGCATGACTTATTTCACTCTATTAAACATTTTGGTGCACAAGCATCAGTGCTCTTTGATATTATGCCTGAGTTCATTCATGTTATCTGTCAAATCAAGACGAACACGGGACTTGTGTTAATATTAAAAGTGCCTCGAGACACAAAATCCACCGAATTAAGATTTAACTCAAAGGCTGACATAATACAGTCATGTTTGCCTGGTTTTATGGCATTTCTGTGTGGTGGGGTGTGTTAAAGACTTCAGAAAAATCCTCTTTTCTCGCATGTGATTGCTACTGGTATTCTGCCCAAAGAAACTGCTGACATAAACATCAGCTTTTCTCTGTTTATTCATTTACCGTAGTGTTGATTCATTAAAAGCTCTGTTTAGACTGTGCTTATGTTAGAATTTTATTCTTATTCTTACATATTTTTTTTGTCATCACTAATTGGTTATTTTCACCCAAATAAATGAAAATAAGAAAAGGTCGTAGTTTTGATATAAGTAAGTGCTTATGCGAAGAGAAAGAATGTTTGCACTCGAGATTGGAACTTAAACGGTCTTATAGTAAGCACATACGATTTAGTAGGTACGCTGAGAAGTAACTCTGATCTATATCACTTTTATTTCTTTGTAACCTTATTGCTGTGGCCCTTACACAATAGTCGCAGTTTCTCTTGTAACCTGTTGGAAAAATTAATTGCCCAATCCTGGAATTAAAGAAACTGTTGCTGTTGTAACTATTTCATGCGTAGTTGGAAAACATGTTAAAATGATCAGCTTTTTTTTTTCTATACCATATGTTCACAAATTATATGCTATCATGATGTAAATTCCAATAGTGACAATTTTATTGTACACTCAACAAAGCCAATACAATACCTGTCTGTCATCAGATGCAGTTAAGCGGAAATATTTCTCCAGCATTTTTGTTTCCCTTTCTGTAAATAACACCACAGGCAGACAGTGCAGAACTGTCGATGGGTGCAGTTAAACTCCACCTGATCATATAGCAACTTTTCCCTACTAGGTCTTACAACTTCTGACAACTTTTTAAATATCTAATAACTTTATATGATCTCAGTTTGATAAGAAGTCTCAAAATTTTAACCTCAAATTGTTGTTTATTAACAAAGCAATAATACACAGGCTGGATTTCTAAAATAACCAAGCATATTTTATTTCCCTCGGGTTTCCAGTTTATTTATTTTGTCTTTGTTCTCATGACAGAATCCAGACTCTCGCCATCTGGATGGCCTGTCCAAGCAGCTGGACTGGGAGGTGCGAAAGGTCCAGCGTTGGTTCAGACACCGCAGGAACCAAGACAAACCCAGTACACACACTAAGTTCTGCGAGAGCATGTAGGTTAACTCCTATTGTGCTCACCTTTAACCTCTCTGCAGGCTCAAGTAAACTGTGGATTTGTTTTTGTGTTGATGACGTGTGATGGTGTGCGTATGTCCCAGTAGTTTATTTGTTTGTTTGTTTGTTTTTAAAATTTGGTTATTTGATTAGATCTTTTTATTTGCCTGGTCCTTCAAGGTCTTTTTCTTGTTTTGACTTGGATTAAATTAACATTTAGATTCAGGATCAGTTTACGCTGGAGTAGGAGTAGAGACCGTGCACTCTAATTCTCAGCATTATTTTACATTTGTTGTTCTGTGGTTTTTGGTTAAAATGGTCCATTTCTTCTCCTACTTCTAGGTGGAGATTTACATTTTATTTGTGTATATTTACATATGGGTTCCAGTTTCTGTGGCAGGTGAGCACACCCACAAATGAAGCTTTGATACTGTGACAACAGTTTTGTTACCAATGTTATTTGATATTTGTTAGAAGTCGGTGTATTTAATAGTATTGGCAATGTTTGGTTAAATAATGTGCTTTTGTCTTTACTTATTTTTAGTCCCCTTGGATGTGGGATACACGGCATTGTTGGTACGGTTACCCCTACCAGGTATGTTGTATCTCTAATAATTCCTTAAAGTCCATTAAACAAGCAGTGTAACCATAACAGTCATTCCCAAATTGAAGCAACCAAATGAAGAATAAACTATTGATTTCTTGGTGATTGGACTGTACTCAGTGTTCTGTGAAAAGCTGTACTAAATAAACTGATGCACAGAAAGCCATGTGCAGATAAGTAGCTAATGTTGACTTTTTTTTCCCCCTGTCAGACTGTCACTGCAGAAGCATTATCAGTATCTGTTTGTTCTTACTTCACTTCCTGATCTTCGGTACACAATAATGTGTCATAAAAACCAGCCTGACTACTATTTATAGCTCACAGACATTGCTTTCCTGTTGATAGCCCTATATTATGCTGAGATTAAAGCTAATAGTAATTCAGTTCAATTCAGTTTTATTTATACAGCGCCAAATCACAACAACAGTTGCCTCAAGGCACTTTATATTGTAAGGTAGACCCTACAATAATACATACAGAGAATAACAATCATATGATCCCCTATGAGCAAGCACTTTGGCAACAGTGGGAAGGAAAAACTCCCTTTTAACAGGAAGGATGCTATACTATAATCTTCTGTTCTTGTTGGCTGGCCTGATTTTTAAAAAATTCTGAAATATTTTAAATGTACTGAATGAACCTCACAAGTTTTACAGGCACTGATGTGTTGATTGTCATTTAAGAAAAGTGAAGGACATTTGTCATACACTTTTTATCATATCATATGTGCGTCAGGCTTTTATTGAACGACATCAAATACAAGAAATTGAATGCGTGACACTTTTTTTATGCTTTACTTCTCAGGTACTTTTATCACACATGTTTGTAACAGAATTTATCAGTCACCACCAAATTTATTTTAATAAACTAAATCTAGCATTGAATTGTAGTTTTTAATATGAGAAGAATTTTTAGTTAACTCTCATAAAAATAACCGAAACACTGTTGTAAAGTTACTATGATAAAATAAAAAATGTGCAGAAAATGTGGTTTAAGTTTGTTATCGCAACCTGTCTAATCGGGCTTTGTTGCAAATCTGCATTGAGATATTGACTTTGAGTCAGATCCCATCAAAAGTGCTTTGATTAAATTGAGTTACCTTTTTCTGAACTTCCAAGTAATGCTCCCCTAACAGACAGCCTTCATGAAGCAGTAAGTAAAACGATTAATAATGAAGCTGAACAAGTTAAAAGAATAAATAAGTGGAATATGCAAGCTCAAAACAAGAAAGATAAGAAATAATTACAAAATACAAAAATTTTGGTTTGCACTATGACTGGCAGGAAGCGGTTCACTGGAAAGCACAGCCTCATACAATATTGCAACATTATGACATCATTCTGATTCACTAGGCAAAGATCACGTTGTGCACTGCGATGTTTTGCAACACTCCAACAAGTGGTGACAGCGTGGCGGTCTCTAGAAGAGTTTTAAAACCGGCACTTAAAATAAGTGAAAGTCATTCAAACCTTCCTCCTGCTTTCTCTCTCTCTCTCTCTTCCCTTAGGCCATGACTCCAGGTCTTTATCACTACTATGTGACAGAACTGGCCTTCTACTGGTCGCTCATGTTCTCCCAGTTTACCGACATTAAAAGGAAGGTGAGGGGAACACTGATCACGTGTTTGCTAGATCAAATCGCAACAGATACTCCACAGCTGCAACTTTCTGTTAAACATTGGTCAATAAGTCTTTTGTTCCTTATTTGGCAGAGGCAGAGAAAATGAGAATGGGTGTGTATGTGATGCGGGGTTTTTCACATCTATGCACATAACATTAAACCTTAATTTTGACTTTGCTTTATTAACCGAAAAACCAAAACAAAAAACTCTTACAGTCACATGTGTTATATTTTTTTGGGAGGGGGAAGGGTGAAGCCGATGCTGCTCAGTCTGGATTCCTTGCATTTTCAGCACCAGGGCGCCCACTGTCATGTGATTGCAGGCTAGAGCAGGCCTAAGTCTGTTAGAAGGCTAGAAGTTCCACAGAAACGCAGCGTATGAGAGGTTGTTTGTTACAGCTGTTGGCGCTTTCCTTTAATGTCTTAATTTTTTTTTCTTTCTATGCAACAAATGCCTGGCAAGTGTTTTAATTAAGCAGCTTCCAAATTTCCTAACCTGTTAATTTAATTAACCATATTTGCTTCTACTCAGGTGATTGCTTCACCGCCAGATTTTTTTCATCCTTCGCTCTATTTTTGCTTCGTGTAAGAAAAATATTGTGTGAATATCTATATTAAAGGATTTTCCAAACAGGTAAAAGGGACTTTACAGATTAAAGGTTTTAGGGCCTGTCAGAACAATCTGAGATAACAGTTTAATGTCCTATAGGCAGGAGATGTTAGCACTGTATGCTAATGGTATCTGACACACAAATGCTAACTGAGGTTTAACAGACTATCAGTGCATCTGTCTCTCAACCCCTGCAGTCTGCTGCTAAAGCCCAGACGACCTGACTGTCAGATGCATGTTTTCTGCTTTAGCATTAGTCGCGTGTGTGTGTGTCCAAGTCTTGCTGATTGGATGCCACATTTCAGTTTAATTGAGTTTTAACTCTTTACTTGCAGCTGCTCCAGATACTACACTTTACTATATTTACCTTTGGCCTTCTGAGGCCCAGCCTGCAGGAAGTAGTATTAACACTTTGTAGTCAATTGTGCACCTTTGACATTACATTGCAACATTTTTGTGGGTTTTCTTGTGTGTCTTCCACATTTCAAACCCCTCAGTTTTATTGTTCAGTCCCTACAACGACCACCACCACTTCTGTTGTGTTTGTTATTTCATTATCTTTTTGAAATATAATGAGATTTGATGTGATTCACAATTTAAAGTTAAATCAGTGACTGCAAGCTACCTGCTTTCTCAGGAAACAAAGCAGCCACAAACTGTAACATTTCCACTTCAGTATCACAGTTGGTATTGGGTTTCTTGTTAAAAGCTGTCTTTGGTCTGCACCAAACACATCTGCCGTCACTAATGCCAAACCTGATTACTCGGTTCAGGCGACATTATGCCAGCAGGCCTGGAATTTGCCAGTATGTTGATTGGGAAACTACTGTGGACATCAAAGCCTTTTTTTTTTTTTTTTTTTTTCTCTCCGGCCTGGAAACTTCTATTTCAGTTTACAGACAAATACTTTGACACCAACCGCTGCAAGAGTTACCTGCTGGTTCTATGATTGAAATGAAGTTTATCTTGGAGATTGCTTTTGGCATTAAATGATTTGTCGTTAAGTTGCATTTTTTTCAGGACGGCTGCTTTTGCCTTTTCTGAAAGTAGAGTGATTTATGTTCTGTTAATTTGCCAGACATCCTGAAGCATTTTAGTTGTCAGCGCAGTGACATTTAGTTGTTTATTTGCTTTTATTTTTCATAGGCGATCGCAGCTTAATGTTATGCATGCCCTTCTTTTCCATCGTATATAAATTATGACTGAGGTTTTTGGGTTGCTTTTAGTGTTTATTTTGACTTTCTTCTCTCTAGATTTTTGTGTCTGTGGGAGAGGAAAACTTTAATATGGTCATCTCAGCCTGGCTAACCTGCTATGCAAAGAACAAGAAATATTTTGAGGCAATAATTGTGCAGAACTATTCTAGTA